ACTATAATCGACTTTTTCTTAATAATAAGCGTATTACTAGAATACGAATAAGGTACTATTATTTATTCTTTTAATAAGATATTATCGTTAATTCTTTCTTAATCGTAAGCGTATTACTAGAATACGAGAAATAACTATTCTATAGACGAGGTTTTAAGCTAATAAATTTCCGAAAAAGCTTAAATTTATCTTTATATAAGACTTTAATAAACTTATTAACTATCTATTTATTAGTAAAAATATATTTAAAATCTATATTATTATTAGTAATCTAGTCGCGTATCTAATTATATTAAATATCGATAAGCTTAAGCTTATAATATACATACACCCCCTTTTAATATATATACACCCCCTTTTGATATATATACACCCCTCCAAATCCGATTAGCTTTCGCGCGGCCGCTAGCCGTATGGGGTATAAACCTTACACATAGCTTCCTAGGGAATATTGCCGAGACTCTTAATAATAGCAAGGCAAGCCTTCCCACTTCCCAGACCTCTCCTAATAAAGTCTAAAAGGTCAGACGGTTTCAAATCGTCGAATGGTAAGGTCTTTAGATTGTCCTTCTATGGCGACAGCTGATTGGCTGGCTACCCTCTCTCGTTGCTACTAGAAATACGCCTATCGTACTCGAATATCCACTATCTATTGGCCACCTGGCCTTCCTACAGCTGAAAGGTACCAAACATAGTCTCGTTACCCTGCATGTAGACTGGCGTACGACATCCATTTCGCTGCCGACTACCTCGCTACCGACTACCTCGCTGTCCGTCTCGTATAGCCCTACTTCGGCTATGTGCGGGGTTTATACCCCATGCGGCTAGCGGCCGCGCGGAAGCTAATCGAATTTGGGAGGGTATATATATATTAAAAAGGGGTGTACATATATTAAAAGGGGGTATACGTATATTACTTTTCTATACTTAATATAATTATAATAATAAAGATTTTTTATTAAAATAATTATATCTTAATTATTATTAAAGATAATAATTATTTAGAGCGATTCGTTAAGACGAATTTAATTAAAAAAAATTAAAATTAAATAACTTCTTTTATAATCTAAATTTAATTAATTAATTTTATCTCTTAAATAAATAATATAATAATAACTTATCGCTTAAAAAATTAGTTAATTATCTTATTTTTTAATTATAAATATAATTTAAAGTTAATTTATAAATATTATAATTATTAGTTTAATCGAAATCGATATAATTAATTAAGTCTTAAAGCGAATTTTTATAAATAAGATATTAATAGATAGTTATTTTAAGATATTAAAAAATATACTTAATAGCTATATAATAAGTTATAATAGAATTTAAAGATTATTATAAGATTATTAATATAGCGAATATAATATTAAACTTTATATTTAATATAATATATATAAGAGATTTAATAGCTAATTAATAATTTATTAATAATTTAGCGAATACTATATAACTATTCTCGACGAAGAGTAATTACGCGCTAATTTTTATAAGAATAAATTATAATTTAAACTTTTATATTTTATAATATCTAAAAAATTATTTAATATAGATTAATTAATTTAAATATAATATTTAATTAATATAGTCGCGAGTTATAATTATATCTAAATAATAATTATAGAAATTTAAATTACTTATTTTAAATTTAATATTAAGTTAAAAAGAGTTAATAATAAGAATATTATTTATATAAAGAGTAATTATAATATTAAAATTAAAATCGATAAATTATTATAATCGATATTAATAAAAATAAGATTAATTTCTTATATATAATTAATAAAAATATTATATTATATATATAGAAATTACTTTAAGCTATAAAATATCTTATTAAGCTTATAAACTCGCCGAGAGTACTTATTTAAAATAAAATTAATAAATAACTCTATATAAATTTTCTTTTTAACGTCTTTATAGAAGAAAGCGGTTTTAACGTTTATCTATTTTAAATCTTAATCTTCGATAGTAATTAAGATAAAGATAGTCTTATAGAATATAAACTTAATTACTAAAGCGAAGATTTTATTATAATTTAAGTCTTCGCGTTATTTAAAATTATATATTATTTATCGAATTTTATAGTAAGTAACTTAATTATTATATTTATATTTTAGAATATAAATTTATATATTTTCCGCGAACTTTATTATATTAATTCTTCTTTCTAGCGTAATAGATATAGCTTTATCTCTTAAAAAGCTCTAAATATATCTTATTAATAAATTCGAAATTTCTTTTTTCTAAAATTATAAAATAGTTTTTAATAAAAGACGTTATTAAAGACTTTTATAATATAGAGAAATAAAAGATTAATAATATTATCTCTAGTATAGTCTTAAATTATATATATTACTTCGATTATTATATCTAATATCATTTTTATAAAACTCTTCCTTCTCGCCTTTATTTATTCTAAAGAGAAAATTATTATTCTCTACGTAATCGCTTAGACGTTTAATTATTATTATCTTAAATATCTTTTCTAATATATTTAATAAAGCTATTAATCTATATAATTTAAATTTTATATAATTATCTTTCTTCGACTTTTTTAATATTATTATATTAATTTTCTTAAACTTTTAGAGATAATATTCTTTTTTTAAATAGACTTAAAAGAGATAAATAAACTATAATAATAGTTTCTCTATTATTATTTATAGAAATCGACTTAATATCTTATTAATTTCTAGGATTTTATTTAATTTTAATCGAAAAATAATCTATAGCACTTCTCTTTACGTAAGAGTATTATTTATTTACTTTAAAAAGAAATATATTATTTTAATAATATTAATTAATTCTATTTAAGATAATTAAAAAAAGAATATCGTTTATAATATCGCTATTTTATTCTTAAATGTAATTATTAGATTCCCGCCTAGCTTTTTTAGAAAGAAGAATTAAAAGAGAAATCTTAATTTTATACTATCGTTTTTTAAATTTTTTTTTTTTAAAATAACTATTACGAGCGTATTCTATTAGTATATATAAAAGAATAAGATAGAGCTAAGCTATAAAACCTTGAATTTATATATATAGCCAATTATAAATTTAGAGTTACTACGCTCTTTAATTAAATCGACTAAGTTATTATAGATAAATAAATTAGCGTTCATAATTATCAAAATCTCGCCCTCCCGTATCTTTCTTATCAAAAAATTAAAGTACGTTATTTACAAATAGAATGACTTTTTTATTTTCTATTGAAATTTAAGATTTTTTTTTAAATTATAAAGCGTTATTTACGCTTTCCAAAATTTTAAGAATTTTAAAAATTTGATATAATAATTATTAAAGCGCAAGGAATTCAAATATCGCTTACTAGAGTTCGCTCGACAGCCGGACAGCTCTGATCAAAAAACAGGTATACATTATTTAATTTTAGAATAACTTTTTTGTTTTCTATTTAAATCTTAACATTTTTTATAAAGATTATAGAACGAAATGTAGGCTTTCAGATAAAAAAATAATTCTTAAATATAGTCTTATAATTATTAAAGCGTAAGGAATTCAAATATCGCTTACCTATTTACTCGATAGCCCTAATCAAAAAAAAAATTATGAATTTAATTTATAGGCCTTTACTCGTATTCTTAATATATTACTTAGCTCTCTAACTTATTCGAGTCTAGCGTATCTTAATATAGGCATTTATCTATTACTTAATATCTTTCTTTTATCTATATAACTTAATATCTTAATTATCTTATTTAATATCTTTCTTTTATCTATCTAATAGTATTAAACTTCGTATTTATCGAATTTCGCGTATAAAAGAATATATACGAAGGAGAGTATTAGAATTTAGATTACGTAACTTTTAGCGTCTTAGCGATTACGTAATATTATATATAATACGTCTTAATATATTTATATCTAGTCGCTCTTTTCTTTTATAGAACTCTCTAATTAATATAACTAAGTATTTTATCTTATATTTTAATAATTATTAAGAATTAATTATCTAAAATAATTCTCGCGAAGAATTTTATAGTCGGCGATATATAGCTAGAAGAATTTCTTTTAATTCTTTTAATTATCTTTATAAATATCCTTCGATCTTAAATTAATCGATTTTTAATATATACTAGATAGTTTAAAAATAAAATTTCTAAAAAATCGCTTTTTAATAAAAAGTGAAATTTAGATTATATTTAGATAAGCGCTATAATTTAATATAATCGTTTTTAGATTTCGACTTTTTACTTTATCTATTCTATTTTAAATATCGCGAACTTTAAATCTCGTATTTTTTTAATTTCGTTCGTATAGAGAAGTAGAAATATAGAGAATATATTTTTACGCTAATTACCCGGTACTAAATTATCTTAATTATTCGATATAGATTTTACTTTAATTACTTAACGTTAATCTTACTTTAATTACTTAATTTAGACTTTACTTTAATTATCTAACGCTAATCTTACTTTAATAATCTAATAAAAATCGATTAAATTATTTTATCTTATCTACTCAATTCGATATTATTAATATTAAACTTTATATTTACTAGGTTTCGCTTATAAAAGAATATATACGAAGGGGAGTATTAAAATTCGAATTACATAACTCTTAGCGTCTCAACGGATACGTGACTACGTCACGGGATACGCCTTAGCGCGCCCGTATTAAGTCGCTCTTTTCTTTTATAGAACTCTATAGTTAATAACTAAGTGTCTTATCTGGACATCAGGACTATGGAATTGATGTGGTTTGCTCTTGTGGTAGGGGACGGTTGATGAATGTTGTGAAAGATGAGGAAGTGTTCGAGGATGAATATGTTTGAGGCTCGGAATGGCCAGGCAAGACCATTCACCTGCTTGTTTGCCATGCAATGACCTGTCGAGAAAAGTTCTCCCTCTTCATCTCCTTCTTCCTCCAATTTTCGCTGTCACTGCTCACTTGCAGACTTGTTGATCTCAAGCGTTCTCTTTGCAACAATGACGTTGTGTGTACCATTGTAATGCCCCAGTCCCGAAGCTGCAGACATCATGACACCCACTATCAGTGACCGTATCAAAGATCGCTTCTCTGCACATGAACTTGACTGTGGATTTCTCATGTGGTCTCGATTAGTCACTCACTTTCGAGTTACCGGTGACGGCGAACTCATGCGACTCACCAAAGAGTATTACACTCTGGAATACGATGAATTCGAATCCATGACCGAGTATCTCACACATATCAAGCTACTCGAAGAACGGATTGCCGCCACGAAAGTCGTTCTTACGCCTGACAAGCAGACAATTCTCTGTCTCGCCATGTCCCTTCCCGATGAGCTCCAGTAATTGACCAAGATTTGGATGTTACGGCAGATATGACTGCTGATAAAGCACGCTCCATGCTTTTGGAAGAGAAGAGAAAGCGGGGAAAGAAGACTGGGGCGGGGGCTGATAGGCCTTTGTGTAGGACTTGTGGAAAGCTTCATGGACCCGTATGTTGCGACGAGCATCCGGAGCTGGCCCCTGATTGGCTGAAGAAAAAGAGACAATATGGTACTGGATGAACTCTGTCAATCGATCGTTGCACATGACAGCAAAAGCAGAGACAGCAACAGTATGTCTGCCCAATGATACTGCAGGCGCCGAAACAGGAGCATTTTACAAGGGTCTCGACGAGCCTTACAAAGACAGAGAAGGCTTTTGTCGTCACCTGAATCAACCTTGCGTGAACTTGAAAGCAAATCCCGGCTACTTGGACGAATCTTGAGGCGAGCATTCAATCTGAAGGCCTAGGGGGAAACCTATTGTGCAAAGCATGCGATATAAAGCTCTTTTCCGACGTTCTGGAGAAGGGGGAGAGATGAATGGAAGACGAAGAGAATGGCGTACTCGGGTAAAAACCATTTGACCCGGCCAGAAAGCGTATTATAGCGTGGAGGCATTCGAGCGATCCCTTCTAGCGAGCAGTGTATCGGAGATGCGCGGAAACGCGGAAACATGTATATACGAGAATTTTGCGTGTACGGGAGTTCTGCGTGTACGGGAGTTCTGCGTGTACGGGAGTTCTGCGTGTACGGGAGTTCTGCGTGTACGCGAGTTCTGCATGTACGGGAGCTATGCGTGTCCGACTTTACTGATAGCGATACCGTCTTCAAGAGTATCAGAGAGTACACCATCTCAGGACGAGTGCTGGCCCACTTTACAAAGCGATTCGTGATATTCATCGATTTCTACATTGGTAAACATTATAAGAAATTACGACATCTTGTGAAAAACACTACACAGCAACTCCGTTATCCAATGTCAATGAACGGATAAAATTGTCTAGAACACTTCTCCGAGCAGTGGAGAACTACTTTCTTGATCGTTGAACAAAAGCTGTTTGAGAAGCGGCGGTTGAGCATCGAAAGAGGTTGTGAAGAGCGCGTACCGTCATTCATTACATAGGGAAGTCAAATACTCACAGGATATTACTGAGGCTGTGACTGTCGAACAAGTATTTAATATTGACTTTTTGATTCTCCTTATTTGATAATAGTAAACATACCCCGTGATTCTTGGGTTCATATTTTTAGTATTCTCATTACCACGATCCTGCCATCGCTGTAGCTGGTTAAAGCCAATCTATTTCGAGCTCGAATTCTTGGTAATTTGATTTACATTGCACTTGTGTCAACGGGACAAACGATGTTACATCAATAGCCACATACACGTTCCTTCGAATGTAGCTAGATCAACCCCCTAGAATCCACGTCGTTCAACAGATTTCCAATGAAGTACCACATATACACCGTATCGAAAGGTCTCCTTTGCACTAGTCAGCAGATGGAAACGTACGGATCTAAGGTGTCTTGTACCGTCGGAGGATCTGGCATCACGTTTGAAGGCTGTTGCCGGTCACGCAAGAGAGGACTTCGAAAGTCTTCGTAGTGACACGTTTGTTTTGACTTGCCTTTCGGTATTTCTTGGCTTCAGTCGAAGATGGCGTGGGGGTAGAAATGGACTATCTATGTTATCAGCTATATTTCGATATGGAGGCAGACTGCTAAAAGACTGACGGGTATGATTTCAAGTTCTTCTTCTGCGCTGCGCTTTTTGCCGCGAGGAGCGCCCTTCGATAATTTAGGGAACTGTTCGCTGTCAGTAACAGCCCTTTGATAGCCAAGCCAAAAGACGAAGGAAATACCGCGGACGAGCATGAGGTCGAAGGGGCTGACGGCAATAGAACTTCTTCGTGGGCTCCTGAGGTGTCAGGGAATGAAGACAGCCAGATTCCTACCCTCGTGGCATCTCCTGGTGTGGAAGAAGAGAGTTGCGCGTTGCTGAGCGGACTGCTAAAGTCATTATCGCTTGAAGGTGACTGGTTGTAGTCTTGGCTGTATTCTGCAATCAGTGACGCGATCTTGTCGAACTCGTCTTTGGTATACAAGCGCTTTTGCAAGCCGTACAGAACTTTCTCATTCAACTCCTCGGGTTCTAAAAACTTCTTCACGACCTTGCCATCCCAGTGGTCATCGCTGAAATATTCAAAGCCCCGCGAGTACCTCGCGTTGCGGATCTCAGATTGTCCAGCCCTTATTGGGATTAGGTCACCGTCATATCCTATTAGGTCCTTGATCTGGCGCGTGAAATTCTTTGCGAAACTTCGAATGGAATTTTTGAAGAATTTACGCGCCTCCATGGGTTTTGTTGTATCCTCAAGACCACAACCAGCGAAGAAATGCTCTAGGGATGGTCCCCCAACTTTGGGGACGAAGTTGTTCATGTAGAAGACTTGATTCTCGTACATCCATTTGATCAAGTGTACCTTCACTTCCCTGGGTAGTTCGTATCTTTTTGAGCGATCCTCCTCCTTCTCGTAGTGGAGCTCTTCAGTCCCCCACATATTCGTAAAAGTAACCCTTGTACTAGTGTCCACTCCATTCTCGCTAAGACTTTGGTTCGTCATGGTAATCGGATAGTATCTATCGATAGAATAAGGAACGTGCGTTCTACTCGTAGTATCCAGAAGTGAGTAACCTCGCTTAATAGCGCCGGGAGAGTTGACCAATCAAACTACTTAGTTCACCGCGAAAATCGTAGTTTGATTGGTCAACTCTCCCGGCGCTCTTAAGCGAGGTTCTCACTTCTAGATACTACGAGTAGAAAGAAGCGAGAACATGAGGTGAGAGGGGTGGGTGAAGTGAATTACGGAGCTCTGTACGAGTAATTTCGAGATGGAGTAGTTATTTAGTTCAATACCTCACTGTTATCAAATGCTTCCACATTCACCTTATCTCATAATTTCACATCTTAGCAATAATTATTAAGATTACAGATACTATTCTAGCCATCTACGAAGATATATAATCGTTCTATACTTATTATATAATAATTATATAACGAAAATAGCTATATAATCGTTATAAGACTATTATATAACGATTATATACTAGCTATATTAATTTAATCTAAATTATATTATAATTATATAGTCGTTATATATTAATTCTCTTATTATAAATTAGAAGTATTTATATAATTAAAGAGAAGAAGAAAGTTATTAATAGAGTAATCTATCTTTAATATTATATAGAATATCTTAAAAATATATATCGCTATAAATATCGATATTTATAATTTATTAAAGTTTTTTATATATAGTTATATAGCTTAATATTAATTATAGTATAAAATATTATAAAGTAAATATAAATAAATAAAAATCTATTTATAAAATATAGTATATATAGCCTTATATTACACTTACTCTTTATACGAAAATATTCTTTAAAGCCTCTTATTACTTATTAATTATCTTATTTCCTATATTATTTAATACTTCGCCTATCTCTTTTATTAATTTTATCTTTAATACGAAGATATTTAAGTCTTTATTAATATTAATCTTTTAAGATTATTTTTTCTATATTAAATAAGATATAAGTCTTTTAAAATAACTATTTATACTTTAATTTTTAAATTCTATATATCTAATATAGAGTATTAAAGATATTTAAAAGATACTATTATATATATTTAAATAAATTAAAATTATATATATTTTAATAATAAAGATAAATTAAATAAATAATAAATAATAAATTAGAGAAAAGTATTTAGATAAGAGCTATATTAGTATATATAAAACTCTCTAATAAATAATAATAGATTTATCTTTTATATTTTAGAAAATATAATCTTATTAAGCTAATATCCTCGAAATTTATAGCGTTAATATTAAATTTAAAAATCATTTTAAATTATAAATTATTAAAATTAATATAAATCTTTTTTTAATATTCGCGAATATATATAAGTTCGATAGATATATTAATTATATATCTGTTATCGAATTAATTTATAATTATATTTATCTAAGCGCTACTATTAAAATCTATCTCTTTTAAATTTTATAAAAACTTTATATATATTATTTAATATCCTTATATATTAAATAATTAATCTTTATATCTAGAAATATTATTTAAATAAATAAATAAATTTATATATATATTAAATAGATAAATTAGAAAATATCGTCTATAGAGTATATTTAATTCTATTATTACTATACTCTTATTTTTCTTTATTTTTTTTAATTTTTTTAACTTTCTCTTATTAAAGTTAATTTTTTTTAACTTTAATATTTATAATTAGCTTTTATTATAAAATTAGCTAGCTTTATTATTATTTAATATTAAAATAATAATAAAATTATTATAACTTCTCTTCTTTACACTAATCTCCTTATTATTATTATCTCTATTTCTTATATTATTTATTAAAATCTTTAATATACTCTCTAATATATAAGAAGTTATAATTTTTATAGATAAAAGATTTAATATACGCGTTATATTAAAAATATATTTTATAAAAATAGTTTATAGAGTAAATTCTTAAGATAGACTATAAGATAGATTATAAGATAGATTATAAGATAGATTATAAGATAAATATCGAGGTTTACTTTATAATAGATTTTAGAAAAGATTTCGAGATAAAGAATTGCGAAGTTACTATCTTTATACTATTTATAATAAACTTTTTTAAAAACTTAGATTTAATTATAATCTATATTAAATAAATTAAATTTAAAAAAAATATAAAAATATAAATTTTATATAAATTATTAAAAACTATAAATTAATTATTTTTACTTTTAAAATCTTTATCTAGTAATCTCTTATATTACTATATATTATAAGATAATATAATTTTTATTAATTTATCTTAAGAACTATCTTTATTCTATATAAGCTTTCTATTTAAAATAATTTATTTAATTTTCTAAACTTTAAATTTATTATTAATTATTAAAATCTATTAAAAGATTTATTATAAAAACTATTTAATTATTATATATAAGTCTAAATAATTAATATTAATATAAATTAGAGAATATAAAAATTATAAAAATATAATTTAGAGATTAAAATAAATAATATTAGCCTTCTTATTTTAACTAACTATATTTAAAAAAAAGCTATTTTAAAGATTATTAAAATATCTTAATATTTATTTTAATCTATATAAGAATATATAAACCTCTTATATTATAATTATTTATAAAAAAAAATTTAAATTATAGAAAAGATAAATAAATTTTAATAATAGCTCTATTTACTCTCTTTTAGAGTACTTACTTTACTTTCTTTATTATATTATTTATCTTACTTTTACTTTAATTATCTTAATTATCTATATATATTAAATCTTATTATTACTTATCTATTAAAGACTTTTATAATTAAATTATTACTTTATTTTATATATTTAAATCCT